CTGAAGCTGGTGGCCGTCGCCGTGGTGATCCAGGCGCTCTGGCAGATGGCCGACAAGCTCTGCCCCGACCGCGCGCGGGCCGGGCTGGCGCTGGGCGGCGCCGCGCTGGCGCTGCTGCTGCCCGGCGTGGCGGGGCAGGTGGGCGCCATCCTGCTGGGCGGCCTGGCCGGCGCGCTGGCCTTCCGGCGCGAGGCCCCGGCGGCCGCGCACAGCGGCCTGGCCGTCGGGCGCAGCGCGGGAGCGCTGCTGCTGGCCGCCTTCTTCGTCCTGCTGCTGCTGCTGCCGGCCCTGCGCGCGGGCCTGGCCGACGGACCGCTGGCGGTCTTCGATTCCTTCTACCGCGCCGGGGCCCTGGTGTTCGGCGGCGGCCACGTGGTGCTGCCGCTGCTGCAGGCGGAGACCGTGCCCGGCGGCTGGGTCGAGCGCGACGTCTTCCTGGCCGGCTACGGCGCCGCGCAGGCGCTGCCCGGGCCGCTGTTCAGCTTCGCCGCCTTCCTGGGCGCGGCGAAGGAGGGCGGCGGCGGCGGCCTGGCCGGCGGGCTGATCGCGCTGGTCGCGATCTTCCTGCCGGGGGCGCTGTTGATCTTCGGCGTGCTGCCCTTCTGGCGGGTGTTGCGGCGCAAGCCGGCGATGGCCGGCGCGGTGACCGGCGCCAACGCCGCGGTGGTCGGCCTCCTGCTGGCCGCGCTCTACGATCCGCTTTGGACCGGCACGGTGACCGCCGCCGGGGACTTCGTCTTCCTGTTGGCGGCCCTGGCGCTGCTGATGCTGCTCAAGGCTCCGCCCTGGGCGGTTGTGGGACTGGGCGCCCTGGCGGGCTGGGTCTTGCTGTGAGGCCGGCCAGGATTTCCCGGTTCGCGGCGCGGTAGCCGGGGGCCGTCACCTGCAGGCGCCCGCGCACCCGCGCGTGCAGCTCCGGCAGGGCATGAAAGGGCACCGCCGGGTAGGCGTGGTGCTCGGCATGGAAGCACATGTTCCAGCACAGCCGCCGCATGGCGCCGTTGGTCAGCGTGGTGCGGGTGTTGGCGAACATGTCGGGGACCTGCGGGCAGCCGCCGTGCTCGGCCAGCAGGTAGAGCCGCAGCAGCGGCTGGCCGAGCAGCAGCGGCCCAATCCAGAGCACCAGCGGCAGCCAGCTCGCGAAGGCCAGCGCCAGGGCGGCGACCGCGCCGTAGACCGCCAGCATGGCCCTGGCCTCGGCGATCACTTTGGCGTGATCGCGCGCCGGCAGGTAGGGCTGCGCGGCCCGCCCGGCGGCCAGGCCCAGCAGGGTGGCGAGCTGGGCGCGCCAGGTCGGCAGGCCGGAGACGTGCAGCAGCCAGCCGGCCGGCGAGCGGGGCTTGGGCAGGGCCAGCTCCGGGTCGCGCTCGGGGTCCTGGGTCCAGCGGTGATGCGCCATGTGGAAATGGCGGAACCAGGTCGGCGGCATCAGCAACAGCAGCCCGGCGCCCCAGGCGACGGCGGCGTTCAGGCGGCGGCTGCGGAAGGCCGAGCGGTGGCTGGCCTCGTGCAGCGGGCAGAACAGGAAGATCAGCAACGTGCCCTGGAGCAGCCAGGCCGGCAGCACCCAGGCGCTGTCCCGGGCGGCGAGCGTCAGCCCGGCGGCCAGCGCCAGCAGCCCGAGATGGCCGCCGAGCTGGAACAGCCCGGCCCGGTCGCTGCGGCGGCGCGACAGGCTTTGCGCCAGGGCGCGTTCGGAAGGGGCGGGGCCGGGGGGGTCGGTCCGGGGCATGCGTCCTCGTTTGGATAGCAGTCGCGCCGGTGGTAAGCGAGAGGTAACCTCTGCGATCTATAGGATGCCAGTGTCGCGTGTCAGCCAGACTCCGGGAAAGCTCATGTCGCTCAAACGCCGCGTCGCCTCGGCGGCGCTTCTTCTTGGCCTCTGCATCGGTGGGTGGCAGCCGGCGGTTGCGCTGCCGCCGGCCGAGGGGGCGGTCCTGCTGGAGGTCACCGGCACCATCGGCGCCACCAACGGCAGCACCGCCACGGGCGAGCCGGCGGCGAAGCTGGATCTGTCCCTGCTGGAGCGCTTCGGCGGGACGGTGCTGACGACCGACACCCCCTGGACCGAGGCGCCGGTGACCTTCGAGGGCATGTCCGGTGCGCAGCTTCTGGCGCTGCTGGAGGTGACCGGACAGAGCGCCACGGCAATCGCCCTGAATGACTACCGGGTCGAGATTCCGGTCTCGGACTTTCGGGAGGCGGGGCTGCTGATCGCCTACAAGCGCGACGGCAAGTCCATGCCGGTGCGCGAGAACGGTCCCTTGTGGATCGTCTTTCCCTACAGCCAGCGCGCGGACCTGAACACCAACGCCTATCAAGCGCGTTCGATCTGGCAACTGGCGCGGATCGAGTTCCGGTAACGGTTCGCGCGTGGCCGAACCCGCAGAACACACCAAGCCCGAAGGTCCGGGCGGACTCCGCCACAAGGGCGGTCTACCGGCTCTTCTGGCGTTGCTGGTCGGGGCCGCGCTGGGCGCCCTCGCGATCCTGTTCGCGCACGCGCTGAACGAGATCAACAAGGAGGTCGGCGACCCGCCGGACAATCTGCGCTGGGCGGTTTCCGACCTGGAGCACGAGTTCCTGCGCCTGCGCCTGGCCAGCGAGCGGACGGCACAAAGCGGCAGCGCGGCCGATTTCCAGGCCTTGAAGCTGCGCCTGGACATCTTCGCCAGCCGCATCCCGATCCTTCAGGTCGGCACTTTCCGCCGCAAGCTGGACGAGCGGCCCGACCTGGCCGCGATTCTGGCCCAGGCCGAAGCGACGCTCGCGCGGGCCGACGAGGTGCTGCTGCAGGCCGAGACTTTGGGCCGGCGGCAGACGGCGCAGGCGCTGTCGCAGGCGCTGGAGCCCCTGGCACCGGCGTTGCGCCGGATGACCGTACGGGTGGGGCAGCTCGAGAGCCAGCAACAGGCCGACTACCAGACAGAGATGCAGCGGCTGCTCGTCCTCATCGTCCTGGTCTTCATCGTGCTGGCCGCCGGGGTCTTGGCCTTCGTCGTCCTGCTCTGGCTGCAGCACCGCCGCCTCAGCCAGTCGAACGCGTCGCTCTCGCGGCTGTCGCACGAGCTTTTCCAGGCGAACCAGACGAAGAGCCGTTTCCTCGCCAACATGAGCCACGAGCTGCGCAC